ATGCGTATGTAGACCAGGATCATGATGAGGCAGGGCGCGAAGAAGGAGCCTATGCACGACGAGATGACGTACCACTTCTGGTCATTGATCTCGCAGCGCTGCTCGGCCGGTTGCTGCCCGTCACCGCCGCCCTTCTTCTCGATGGAGATAAGCGGCGGGAAGGATATGACAGCCGAGATGACCCACACAGTAACGATGATGGCCTTGATGCGGCGTGGCGTGCGCTTCAGGTTGTACTCGATGGCCTGCGTGATGGACCAGTAGCGGTCCAGGCTGATGGCGCACAGGTGCACAATGGACGACGTGCAGAAGAGCACGTCGAGCGCCAGGTAGATCTCGCACCATGCCTTGCCAAAATACCAGTAGCCCATGACCTCGTTGGCCAGCGAGAAAGGAATGACTAGCGTGGCCACCAGAATGTCCGCCGAGGCCAGAGACACCAGGAAGAGGTTTTGGGGCGCCTTGAGAGCACGGCTGGTGAACACCGCGATGATGACCAGCACGTTGCCGAACACCGTGAGCAGCATGAGCAGGCCAGCCAGGCACACCAACGTCAGCGTCACCTGCAGGGAGTAAGGGATGGCCTGGGCGCCGCCCCCTGGCGCCTCGGTCCCATTCCAGCTTGTGTTGCCGGCGTCCGGCTGCAGGGAGCCCATGGGCGCAAAGCTGCCCTCGGCCAGCGGCTGCTCCTGGCGGAACATGAACGCGGCGCCCTCTCGCCTGGACCTGGTGCCAGCTGCCTTCCGGCCGGCGCCCGTGGGTCCTCCTCTTCCTCCGGCGACCCACTCACCCCGCCGCGTCTCACATAGGGAGGGGGCCCCAAGGAAGCCGGGCCCAAGCTGGGGGACAGCTAGTGGCCCATGGGCCCAGGTCCCGTTAACAGCGCCCGCCGGTGCTTTAGCCGCTCGGGGTGGGCGCCTTCTCTCTCCAAGCTCCTAGGCACAGCCAAGTTTTATTTCTAAGCAGGAGAGAGCAGGGCGAGCTGATGGTTAGAGAGAGATTTATTCTTCAGGAAGGGAGAATAAAATTCATCGGTGGCCTGATGACTTGGAAGGATGACAGGAAATTATACATACAACTATATAAATATATATATATATATATATATATATATCTTGCTTCTTGAGCCTGAGCGAAAGCGAGAGGTCTTACCGTGTGCGGGGCCCGCCCCCACCCCAGGAGGCAGCCAAGAGGTGCTGAGATGCGAGCTCAGGGTCCTATGTCTGTCTATATTCCCGAAGCGATTACCGACTCTGGAGCTTCCCGCAGACGCGGCGGTGCGGGCTGGGCCCTAACACCGGCCAGGGCGCGGACTCTGCCGCTTCTCCGAGCGCCGCGGGACTTCCAAAGTTGCGCGCCCTGCTGGGGCTGGGGCGCAGCACGCGGAGCTCGGGGACGGCAGCGGCGTGAGGGGTGTGGAGGCCGCATGAAGGCGCCCCCGTCCTCAGGCGTGCCGCGCCAGGTGAGCGATCCGCCCTCCAAGAGCCACGGCTGAGGCAGGGTGTCTCCTAGGCGTCGGCTCGGTGGGCGCGAAGCTCAGCAGGACCGGCTGGGGGCCGAGGACAGCGTGAGTTGCAGCAAGAGCGCAGGACTAGGGAAAGAAGGCGCTGGGGTGGCGGGGAGGCGGGGCGCCGGCTGCTGGGCGTCTGCACCCGAGCCGGAGCCGCTGCTGTTCCGCGGCGCTACGGTGGACTCGTTTTATAGCCCCAGGATCAAGCCGGCGTTGCTGAGCAGCCGGCGTCAGCCCCCACGTGGGAAGCCGACCCTCCTCCGCCCCTCGCGCCTCCCCTCTGCTGATCTAGAGTCGGCGCCCAGTGCGGGACCCCAGGGAGCGCTGCCCCCCAAGCTGGACGGGCCCTTCGGAAAGGCGGGTACCTTGAACGAGGGGCTTTAAGAGAGAGTCTGGGGAGTGGGGAGCGGCCCCTACTGGGAGTTGGCTGTGCAGCTCCCGGACGATCCAGCCAACAGCAATAGGCACCCGCAGTGTCTCTATCGAGCTGGGTCTTGGGAAGAGAGGGTGGAAAGGAACCCCGGCCAGAATTGGGAGAAGCATTCTCGGGTATGAGTCTCATCCAGATCAGCCCGACCCGGACCAGGCCGCCCTAGTCCGCAGGTGCTCCTGGCTGGAGAAGAAGGCGAGGGTTCCAATGGAACCCCTGAAGCGGAATGGGCAGCACCCACGCGGGAGCCCGCGAGGCCAGAGTTCACAGCTCCGCTTGGGGAAGAGGCGGCTAAGTGTCCTACCAGCTGCAAAGCTATCAGCGGGACAGCGCTGCCTGGGGTCCAGACCGCGCCCTTCTAGACCGCTATGGGGAGGGGTCCTCCAGGCGGAGGCGCGCCGCGACAGAACGAGGGCGCACTGACACCTGCTGGCCGCTCGTCGTCGTCACGTCTGGGAAGTAGCTGGCTGGCACCGGGAGACTTTCTCCAGTTTCTCTGGTCCTCAGCCTATACCTCTATCTTGGGATAAGTTTAGGTCTGAGCTCAGGAAAGGAGAATCCAGATTTTAAACTGCATTTTTTTCATGTCGCACAAATGTTTCTAAAGCAGGTACTTCTGTGTTTCTACCTCTGGCGGGAGGGGAGATTTATCTGATAAAAGTCATTTGGAAGATCTGGCACGCACTCCAGCCCAGGACTGTGATTCCACCCTGGACCACACAGCCTATACTTGTGCAGACCCAAGAGAGGCCTGATCCTGCCTGTCACTCTGCCCAGCTTTGAGCTGCTGGGAACCATTTTGTCCTTGTTGAGACACAAAGGAGCTCCAAGACTCCAAACACAAAGTAACGATAAAGAGATGGAAATGTTAATTACCATGATTTCATCAGTGCATGTTGTATACATGTATTGAAATATCACACTGTATCCCATAAATACGTACAATTATTTTAATAAAAAATTTAATGTTTCAGGACATGGAAATGTCAACTACCTCGAGCTGATCATTACGCACTATATACATGTATCAAATTATCACACTGTATTCCACAAATTTGTACAATTAAAAGTAAATATTTTTAAAAAGCTAACCCCCTGCATGCACTCCCATGCTGATGCAAACACACCATCTTTCAGAAACCGGAGAATGCTGGCCAAAGTAGAGAATGTTTTCTGTTTTCTCTGATAAGAAGAGCAGGGGGTTGGAGTGATCAGCAAGTTTTTCCAAGTGCGCTTGATGTATTGTGATAGGCTTTTTAATAGTCACTAGAATAACAGCTTGCACTGTGCTGTCTGTACTTCTCAGATGAGTAGCGGGTAGCTTAAGGATAAGGCCCAGGAGGATAGAAAATGTCAGCAGGAGAGACATTCAGCCTATGGAAAAGTTCTTATTTATGGAACCACTAAACCAAAATACGTTATGAAGTCATCTAAGCTGGATTTCTATAGTCTGATCAAACTGAGCAGCAAGGTACAGACTCAGATCAGACTAGGGGTTGAGGAACTAGTTAAATGACCTTGAGCATCACCTTCAACCTCAGCTAATATCTACAGCCCCCACTACGATACAGTTATTGACACTGTTGCTCTTGATATAAATGCTCCAAGTCTACTATCCTTTTCAAAGTATCCTGTGGATGTCTCATTTGACTTCACTATCTGCCTCCCAATCTTTACCTTAGTTCTAAACTAAGGTAGCCTTTCTAAACCCTCTTTCTAGAGACTCAAGAAATCCAATAAGGCAGAATTTCTGCCCTTTTTGGAACCCATCATTTCTCATTTTCTACTCAACTTTCTGCCTGGGTCTCTTGGACAAAGGGACACAAAAGCAGGCTCATTTGGAAATATGATTCTACTCAATTTTGCACAACACCAGGAGCTTAACCCCTCTTGTATGAATGTTAAGAGGAACAAACATTAAAGTCCATGACCATGTGGGGTTCACTATGTTGCTCCCAGAACAACATCTCTTCACATCTCCACACCAACTTCTAAAATATGACTTTCTTCCTGTCTCATTTCAGAAATGAGGGGGGAAATGGAAAAAAAAAATAGTCTACAGTGTTTCCTTTCTTGAAATTTCTGATGCTAGCATATATTTTGCCTCTTGCCACATTTTCCAACTGCTTTCTGAGCATCCAACTGATGTATTAATTCCTGGGTTTGGAGTCTTTTCTCCTAATATGGAAATGGGTCTTTCAAGGAGCCAGGGGCCCCAAGGCCAGTACACAAGAATTGTTAATAAGAACAAGAGCTGCCTTGTGTTAAGTACCTAGTATATATCATGTCCAAAGCTATATACGGAGCTGCTTTTCAGAATTATCCCTCCCTTTCCCTACAACCAAGAGTTCTTCCTTCCTTAGTCACAGAGTCGGTATCTCTGAGCTCTGAAATAACTATATGGACACTTTATTTTTTTGCTAGAAGATTTCACTTGGTGCCAACTGAATGGGCCAGTGCTGAGCAGAGATCTCTACAAAGACAATAATTCT